CCTTTTTCAGGGTTCTTCTGAATTCTTCCTGGTGATAATTTTGTGGCAATTCATTTGTTTAAAGATCCAGATACCTTCAAAGATGCCTTAATCAACATCACATTCTTGCCTCACCACAAAGCTCCTGAAATTCGTATGCATTAAGTCCAGACAAGCCACTCCAAATATGCAGACAGGTGCCCACAGAAGGGGCAAAAATGCAAGAATTTCCCATGCTCCCCAAACCAGCCAGTAAGCATGTGGCCCAGCTCCCTGCCCGCCAGCTCCTGCCACAGATCTGGGCAGAGGAGGTTTGAATCCAGCCAGTTACTCTTCTGCACCCTGCTCCAGGGAGCTGCACCCACCAGACACCGATCTGGGAGATGTGCTGTGGAAGCCCACCTTCCACCTGCACCCAGGAACCATCTTCTGGCTGCAGAGAAGTCCTTCAGCAAAGTGTGATGGATGAAGGAAGTGGGAACAGAAGCAGCAGGGACACTCCTTGCAGCCTCTGCTGCTCCCAGATGTGCTCTTGAGGAGAAGGGGCAGGGAGACTGAACTGGTGGTTTTAAAGTTGGGGGAAGAGGTGGAATGTGTCTTAAATGTGGGAGGACATGCAAAAGAAAACCAGAGAACTGCTGATATAGATCCTTAGGTCAGTATAATCAGCAAAGGATCGTGCAATAAGCTAGGAATCAAATCATGGCTTGAGCAATGATTTTGTGCCACCAGTAAAATCTTGTGCGGAGTACTCATTGAAAGGGTAGGCTTAGCCTGGGTTTTTCACATTTAGGAGCACAGACAGCTGAAGAGCTGAGGGGAAATGATTTATGAGGACAGAGCTAAATGCTTAATGCTAGGTTAAACAACAAGTAAGGGCAGACATAACAGCCTACAAATACCCGTAGGAAGAAATGTCAAGGAGTGTGAGGAACTGTTTTGAACAGCAAGACAAATTTCCTAAGACTGAGGTGCAGTGGCTTGTGGTAACACTTGCCCAAATAGCTGAAGTTTTGTCTAGCCTGGGCAAAACATGAGCAACTGAAAGGCAAGGAACAATTCTGTGTTGCTGGACAGGTGAAAGAGGTTGTTCAAATCTGTTCCATGTTCAGATGAGCTCCACTTCTCCATCACCAGAGAAGCCATCTGCAATGTTCAGCAAGGTATAGCAGCTGGAGACAGCATTCTGGAGATGTACTGCAACTGCTTTTCCTGTTACGATTTTTGTGATAGCAGCAATTACAAACTTTATTTCATCAAGACAGTTTCAGGTTGATTGTATAAATGAAGAACTCACTAGCTGCTATTGCAAAGGAATAAGCACACAAGATCACTCATAGCTAGAAAGACTATCCACCACAGTAGTTTCACTAAAATTAACATCAAATTTATCCTGCACAGAGGATGAGTGTTAAAAATGTACCCTATCTCATGCCCCCTTAAGCCCCTCAAATAGCTCTTAAATGGACTTGAACTTTGTTCTGTGCTGAGCACCTGCATGAGGGGTGAGATCCAGCCTAAGGTCGTGTTTGAGGGAGGTAAAGAATTCAGTAGGAGGCCTGAGGGATGTGCCTGATGCTCCACATGGGGGAAAAGTGCTGCTGGGGCTACACTAAGCAGGAATGAAAATGCAGGGGAAAGGCAAAGGAATGCGGGGTAAAAAACAAACAAACAAAAAAGACCTTTGAACTTTGTTTCACAGCATGGCATTGCAACTGTGGCAGGGTCGGGAACAAGAGGCTACAGCTAGCAAGGTAGAAAGGGAGAAGTAGATTGCCTCTGAACCCCTCAGACTGAAAAACTATTGCCTAATTAAAGGAAATAAATACAGGCAAAGGGGAAAAAAGACCTCCTACATAGTCTTGAATTGTGGTAAAGGGGAGGGGAAAGGAAAACAAAACCAAAGCAAATGCACAGCCACAGTAAACAAATGTAACCCTAAGATACCTTCTATCTCCCTCTTTTCTGGCAGATGTCTTGTTCCCAGTCCCTGTGGATTGGTTTGTGCACTTCCTGTGCTGATGGAGAGACTGGACCACTAATGCGGAGCGTTGCTTAACTCAGGGGTGGAAAAACAATCCCAATGCTGGTATCCAGTGACAAGAGAGTAACTGCTCCTTGGGCCCTGCACTGAGGAAGAAGGTAAATTCCCTGCAAATACATCAAAACCTATAAAAGACTTTACATTTTTTTCAGAATGCAAAAGTGAGAGGTGGGGGAAAAAAAAAAAAGAGAAGCCACATATGACTCCTATGGTGAGTGGGGAGACTGAGAGAAACCCAGGAAAGCTGGGGTGGGGGTGTGAGTTTTGCCTGAGCATCATTAGGTGGGTCAGTTGATGGCTACGTGGTTTCAATGCATGCACAGAACAAAATGCATTGCTAAAGTGTCACAAAAAGAAGAGATGGATTTCAGAACTACCTGAAAACAAACTGCAATTTGTCTCCTATCTTAAGGCTAGGAAGGAGATGACCATCCTGGAGGAAATTCCACTCAATGTCATAACAACATTTCAAAGCATTTTGGAGATTAAGGAGAAGATTAAGGAGAAATTCAGGTGCAAAAAAACCAAAGAAGCTGAGGAACTCTTCTTGTCAAAGGGTTTACAAGTGGCAGGAAAAAAAAGCTTTAAGGAAGAAATGCCTTGTAATTATATCGTTAACTTGAGATTCAGGTTCTTCTTCTCACCTTAGCTTAATGCTGAAAACACATTCACAACAGGATGTGCCTTATAAATTTGTAAACACTATGTTGCTTCAAGGTACACGATACAGTACAAAATTTCATAATCTATGGCATGCTGTCAGGAGGCTACAGTGGGAATAGCTGACTGACTACACAGCAGCACCATTCTTGTGGTAAATATGTCTAAGTAATTAGGTAGCGTCATGGTACGCAAACTTGTGCCAGGGAGAGATTTTGAGTTTATTGTGTCTGTTTCTGTATTGAGGAAGGAAAGTGTTTTTTACCTTCCAGAGTTGTTTGGGGCTTTTTAGTAGGAAGCTAAAACAATTACCTGAACAGAGCCATACAGATTGTAAACTTTGACTCTCCCAAAGAAGTATTTTCTGTTGTACCATAGCTTCCAATGAGCAAGACACCTTCTGCCCTTTACTTTTGTTTCATTAGTTTTTTGATGTGTCGCAACACATCACACTAAAAATCAAGGTAGGAAACAAAAAGAAGAAAAAAATCCGTATTGCGAACTTTACTTTTGTCTGGAATCCTTTTCTGGATATTTATGGCATCCCATAAAGTTGCTGAAACATGCCTGCTGTATTTTTAATTGTCATTTTAAATGCCCAAACCCGGAAGTCTTGCTTATATTGTATGCGAACACAGTGTCTGCTTATGTTCAAACCCTCAGGCACTTTAAATAACTCTACTGTACACAGAGAATGTTGTTCATTTTGTTTTTACAATTTTTGCCTGCGTAGAAGGAGCTCTAATGTCTTGAGAACATAAATGTATGTTCATAACCAAGGAGCAAGATCACAGCTGGAATCTACCTGAGCTTTGGATCGTATTTCAGCAGTGGCATGAGGTGAAAAAGCAGCTTATTTCTCTGTTTAATTTACAAGAGCTACAACTGGAACAGCACATACTAGACTTACTGACGTAACGCACAGGTGAGTGCATGTTACAGGTCCACCTCTGTGCCTAATCCACAGGGAATATCAGACTCTTTCAGCCAGACTTAAGAGCCATTACCACTGTAGCCCTAGAGGAACCTGGTCTGAACCCTGGTGTGTTAGTAAAGGTGGCAGCTGCCATAACAGACTTCTGTGTAGGCTACAAACTTGGGGCATAAAATGGGGGTCTTTTTATTGATTCCAGTGAGTTTTGTACCAAGCCTCCATTGTTCTGTCTTAATGAATAAACCATTACAGAGAATTCATAAGTAAATTTGCCTTTTTCTTTCAAGGATTAAACAGGAGCAGATTGTAATTTCCTTTAAATGCATCTATTATTCATCAGTATTTAGTAAGTTTTATTACAGGCTTAAAAACAACAGCATATATAGATTTTTATTCTCAATTCCAATCTGCTCCCTACATGTGTTCTGAAACTCACATTTTATGTTTAGATGTGACTGACCATGAAAGTCACAGGGTAGTACGTGTTCCCCAAGTAAAGACACAGACAAGTATCTTGCCAATGTTCATTTTTCACATCAGTTTGCTGTAAATAATCTTACATGCAATTTTGCCACTTCCTTTCTGTAGGAATCCCTGTGAGTAGGTTAGCACACTATGGCTTGCAGAAAGCTGACACATAGTATGTATGAGCAGAGAGGAAGTAAATTAATTTCGGTGTTTGATTCAACATTGGAGAAAAGCTTTTTGCAGTATTTATTTACCAACAGAACTAAGAGAAGGTACAATCCCTCCTCTAGTCTGGCCATATTGCCAGACAAGGAAAATTCTATTGAGTTAGGACTATAGACAAGGGGTCAAAGAAAGAGATGCTTCATTTCTCAGTGCGCATCCCATACAGCCAGTCCTGTAATAGCTGTCATTATTTGTAACATGCGCAGTAAAGGAATAGGTGGAGAAATGAAGCCATGTATATAAGGTAACACCCTTTTTTTTAAGCAACCACCACTTTTTGCAATGACATGTACAAGGGTCATTTGGGGTTTTCCTTCCCTTGAAGTCTGGGTTTCCTGAGAGGAAGGAGAGCTGAAATACAGGAACAAGTGGCTGAGCACCATTTCCAGCAGCATAGTAGACCTTCCTCATTGACACAGGTTTAGGAACCACATCTGAATCTCCAAACTTCCTGATGTTTTCCCTTTGAAAGGGAGAGAAGACAGGGAAGGAGATGGGTGGAGAAGGTGAAGAGGTGGATCTGTTCTTTTAAAGGCCTTGCAAACACATCAAAACTGCTTCAATCTACTATGAAAAGTAGGTTGCGATACAAGTGGGAAACAGAAGGAAATGTTTGAACTAATAAAATGCGCCGGACTAGCACCAAACTTCTGCTTAAAAAGCTGTTTCTAATACACAACGATTACTTACAGTATTATTGCAAGATCATTAGAGGACTCAGAGATTGAAGAGTGCCTGGGTTCATCTGGTTGAGACCTGGAAAACACAAATGTCACAGATCAGCAAATACCACCAGCAGTCAAAGAATTTTTTATGAGGTCTGTTAGAACAGGAGGAAATGTTCAAACCCAGACTGCTGGGCCACTGTGACCTAATCCTGGCCAGAGAGAAGAAAATCTGCTGTTCACTAGATCACCACTGATAAAAGAGAAAAACTTCAATTCACTAGATAAGAACATCAGTCTGTCTGGGTTGTATTGCAGATCACTTTTAAGCCTCTGAAAGGGTTAATGGGACCCTAGAGATAATAAATACATTATGCAGCTGCGTAGGTGCTAGGAAGATGAATATAGGTTGATTTTTACAAACTTAACCTATGCAGAGTGAGTCATAATTTGCACCTTGCGTCATTCAATAAATGGGTCTTTTGAAAGTCAACCCACTGTGAATGGGCTGCTAGCTCTCAAACAGCAAGAACCCTGCTCTCCTGCCCACAGGCTGCCTAGCTGTAGGATCAAAAAGCTATTCTCCCTATGTGGCAATAATGGGATCCAAACAAACAACTACCTGTTGGTGGGTTTGCTGCATCTCTTAAAAGGATCTTAAAAGGCCAAAAGGTTTTCACTGGAACAACTGGGTTTATATCATGAAAGATTAATTCTTAATCATAAACGTGCGTTATTCTCATTGCTACTGCTGCTGTGCCTTGTAATATTGTTTCTTTATTGAATTATGTCTCACATCAGCTTTTTAATTAATGCCTTCATTAGGAAAACCTTGAAAGTTTAGATAAATAACATTTGCTTTTGTGCATTTTAACCATAAGCTGCTACGTGAAGAAAATTTTTCTATTTTGTAGTCATCCAGGGGAAAGAAAAGCAAGTAGAAAGGAGGTCTACACATTCACAGGGATCTCAGCACTGAGGAGACAGAATAATAATCTTTTGTTGAATAGAAAATAACAAAAAACAAAGTAAACAATACCCTTTTGTTCTACACAAGAAAGGCAGGGCTTTAATAGTCTTTAAACGAGATAGAAAATTTCCATCCAAATGGAACCATGGAGTAGGTAGACACATTACAATGTTTTGGAGTTCAGTGATTAAATTTAATACCATGCCAAACAGTGATTAGTTGATGAAGGGTATTCATAAATAGAATAGAAACAAGGGAAGTGGGCCTCCAGTGCAGTTTGGTGTTAGGCTTTCTCCTGTAGTAACAGGGTCAAATGAAAAAAAGTTTCATTTGATTTATTTCCCTAAGGAAATTCAGTGGAATTGTAAACACAAGCTGACTGGTACATATTACTAAAACTTCAGCATTCAGTTCAGATCCAAGAAAAGGTCTTAGGTACCAACTGAAGCACAGAAACATAGCCTTTTCTTCAGCATTTTTCCAGTTTGCTAACTCAATCACCCTGCTCAGAGTACTGGTACATGTGAATCCCATTACTAGACACTGAATTCTCTCAACTCCCTGTGAAGGCAAAGTAGCATCCTAATTAAGGCTTCTGAATCCCAGCCTCAGAGCTGGGTGCTTATGTCCTTTATGGATCTTTGCCTTAGTGCATTAAAATACCCTGTTGAGCCCAATGCAACACATTGTCCTTAAAACCGTACATATGTGACTAATGATCCAGGAGAATAGGAGCATAAATCCTTTTTAACTTAGCTTTGGTCTCTCTTATGCCCATCCAACCCAGGCAGCAAGCAAGTGGTGCACAGAGAAGTCAGCAGCAATACATGAGCCCCATGCCTACAGACAGATCAGGTCAACTTCAGCAAACAGTCACTGGTTTTGCAGAGAAGGACAAGCAAGATTGTCCCCTGGTTTCATAACATGAAAAGTTACCCCCTGAAATCTGAGAAGTGACCTTTGAAGGAAATAAAATTTTCATTTCAGTTTTTGCTAAATGAACTGCTCCAGCCCATCCCAGCATCTTAAGTATCAGTATCTGAAGACTCACAAAATATAAGCAAAATTAAACTGAGATATGTGTGCAGTAGAAGACAAGACTCCTCTATAAGCATGAGTCCTCCTCTCTTTTCTATCATCACCTATTCCTACAGCCCAAGCAACGGCCATCATCATTCTAATCTGAATTAAGCCCCCTTACTTTAAAATCTGTTTTGGACCAGACCTTCTCTTAGCTGCATTAGTATAAATCTGCTGTCTTTTCATGGACTTTCTCCAACTACACTCTGGTGTAAGCAAGATCAGAATCTTATCTTGGTGGTAATTTGCAGGGTTATGCTAAAGGTCAACATTAGTGCAGGCCACAGATGTTGGTGAAATCTCACCTATTTATGGGGAAAAGAATTTACAGTTACAAATTATTATAATAGCAACATAATTTTTTTTAAATGGTAACATGTAGATAATGTTTCAAGTATCTTGCTTAAAATTTTAAACCCATCCATTAATTAACAATAATTAATCACCAAGCATGTTATGTGTGCTAAGTTTGCTGCAGCTTTCATTACAAGAAAATGAAACAAAAAAGTCTAGGAAAAACTGTCTTGGAGTCTCTATTTAACACTTCAAATGAATGGTTGTGTTCAGCTCCTGTCGGTATCCTCCATCACAGGCAACTTTCCTCACTGCCACAGGGCCTGGGAGCTTTTCAGTGGGAGAAGCAAGTGATTTGCACCTTAAGAAAAAATTCAGACTTATTCTTTGCGTATGATTTGTGTTCCAGGTGGTAGTAAGAGGTAAATCCTAGAGGCTTTCTCTACAATGATCGAATGCCAAGAAGTGGAGCGGTTTACTGGAAGAGCAGCAGCTTCTAATGTCTCTGCAATGACAGCTTTAACTAGAAAGGTACAATATTTTATATTCTGCAAAGCTGAGCTAGACCGTTTTGGCAAAGAATCTGTCTGCCTACCAAGGGTGGGGTAGGTATTTACTATCTATATAATGACTTCCTACTGCAAGTGGGTCAGGTAATTCAAATACCTAGCCAAAACTGCCTTTGGTCGAGTCTGGTGGAAGTCTAGCCTGTAAGTAAATACGTCCCTCTGCTACAGAGTGCACATCCTCTGTCATGTGATGTCTCAGCCATTTCCTGGTACTTCCACTCCAACAAATACTTCACTTTATCTCCTTCCGATTGTAACATCGGCAGTTTCACCACTGAGGTTGCCGTTACTGCACTTTCTGGTGTCAATGGCCTGCTGTGAACTGAAAAAATACCTGCTGAAAAAAACAGTCAAGCATTCGAATGATACCAGAGGCTCCTTCTTTTTCTCCCTTTGTTGTAGCACACCGGGCAGTCATCCAGTTTGTGGGTTCTGCTCGTCGAGCTCCAAACCAAATGTTTCAGAATCCAGCCTGCACAAATAATCAGGTTTTAAACAAAAACTGCAGCAAAAGATCAGCTTGCTGCATGTGATTGGTGTACTGCTTGGCCTTCTCTCAACTTGAGCCTGGATGTCTGACGTTCAAACATGTGCATTGTGTTCGTTCTGGCATTTGGAGTGGGGTGGAAGGTATTGTGTGTGTGTGTGGTGGGGTGGTAAATCCCAAACTCGGCAAGATTTCAGAGGTGCTGCCTTGCACAGTGGTTAAGAAATAACTCATTTCTGGTTGAAATGTTAAAGCAAAGGTATGAAGTAACTTGAATGGTAAGAAATAACTACCAGCTCCTAGCCAGTTCCTGCGGGCACTATGGATGGATCAAGCTGCCCTGTCCAGTGGCAAATCTCACTTCTGTGAATAGCAGCCTCCTCACCAGCCTGCACAGAAGCCCCTGAGAGAGTTGCTGGGAAAGGATGCAGCGGTTATTGAAAAGATCCTGCAAGTATTCAGAATATAGCTGTTTGCCAAAAACATAGTGGTATGGCTTTGTTCACCGTAAACATTTTGGGCAATGCTGTTCATATTGCGCCAATTCACTAAATTGTCTAGCTCTGAAAGTGAGCGGAAATTTTGAGAAGCTTTGCAGTGAGTAACAACTCTTGCTAAGAAAGTCAAAGTTATTCTGGCAGACTGCAGTTGAACCACAAAAAACAGAGGTCCTGAGGAGCAAGGAGATCCTACAGATACAAGTCAGCATGACCAAGGTGTCACCATGTTTCATCACACAGTCCTTTACTGGAAACCAAGTCAGCAAAACAAAAAGATGTTCACAGACTCTAGCGGGCTCTGGATTAGACTGCTGTCTTCTGAGGACAGCTTCATGAATCCTGGCAGTTTAGAGTAGCTCTTTTAAAACAAAATTTCTGAAAATGAATGAGTTATTTCGTAGATGAACTATGTTATCATGAAGTTTTTGCTTGTCTATCTTTCAAAACAAGCACGGTCCTGTAAAGAACAGATGAATGTTAATATTATACCTTCTGAAAATTTGAAAAATTGTATTTGAAAATTAATACTGTAACCATGTGTCACTTAATAGTACTATGTTTTGATCTTCACAAGGTTATCCCAGTTGCTTCGCCCCATAAAATTAACCACAAACACAATAGTGAATGAGTCAGAACACAAAGCTGACTCTAAGAGACGGGATAAATGCCTCTGGAGAGGACAGCAAGCAGGAGGCATGAAGCAGTTAAGGGTGCAGCAGTGTGTGGTAACAGTTGAACGAACAGGGACTAGGATAAAGAGAGAACACTTTTCTGTAAAAATACTCATTTATTTCAAGCTCCTCCACCTCCCACCAAAGCAAACAAATTTTGCAGGGTCTGGAACACCTGATCTGACGGACTAAAGTCTGAACTGGAAAGACATGAGCTACAAGATGCAAGCTCTGAGCAGGAAGGTGGCCCACAGGCTCTGGCACTTCTGCACAGGGCCTTTGAAAAGAGTTTCCAAGGGGCTTACACAAAAGGTTCTTTCAAAAGTGCTCCATAAAATACACCTGAAGAAAGACCGTTAGGAGGAGACTCGGTTTAGCTCTGTTCTCCTCTGTTTAGCTCAGGTGTTGTTTTTTCACACACAGAAACACATGTACAGACTTAGTACACCATACAATGCCTCACTAAAGTCATCAAGTGGTGGTTATAACTTCATCCAAGATCAACAAGGTCTTTTTCCAC